TTTCTCCTCTTTTTTTCTTTTTTTTTTTTTTCTAATGTTAACAGCCTGACTACTATTTTTTTTTTTTTTTTTTTTTCAGTACCACCTCTCCAGTGAATCACCCCTATGGAAAAAACTGTATTTCCATATTGAGTTCCCTACAAATTTTTTTTTTCTTTTTTTTTTTTTCCACAGAACTAATTGTATTTTATATTTTTTTTGTTTTTTTTTTTTTCCCTACCTTAATTATTACCACCCGATTTTTTTATTTTTTTTTTTTTCTCAATGCAGGTACATATTTCTTATTTTTTTTATTTTTTTTTTTTTTCCGCCTACTTATGTTACTTACTTATTTTTTTATTTTTTTTTTTTTACTGAGCATGATAATAATAACATTTTTTTTTTATTTTTTTTTTTTTTCTAGATCCAACAATCTCATATGATTTTTTTTATTTTTTTTTTTTTTAGTAAAAACACCCCTGTACCAACTTCGCCTATGACTTCCCAAAGCCCATGTATAAGCCCCTATTGCCGGCTTTTTTTTTTTTTTTTTTTTTCTCCTAAAATTGGGCGGCTATGGCATAATGCGACTTACCCTCATCCTCAGCCCTCTGACAGAACATATAGCTTTTTTTTTTTTTTTTTTTTTCTTATGAGGCATAACTGTGACAAGCTCTATCTGTCTACGACAAACTGATCTAAAGTCAGTCACTTATTGCATATTCCTCCGTAAGCCACATGGCACTTCTTGTTGTAGCTATCCTCATTCAAACCCCCTGAAGTGTTACCGGTGCAATTATCCTCATAATTACCCATGGACTTACTTCGTCCCTACTATTCTGCCTAGCAAATTGAAACTACAAGCGAATCCACTGCTGAATCATATTACTCTCTCGAAGACGTCAAACATTACTTCCACTAATAACCTTTTGATGACTCACAGCAAATCTCACCAACCTTGCCCTACCTGCCACTATTAATCTAGAAGGAGAACTCTTTTTTTCTTTTTTTTTTTTTTCCTGATCAAACATTACTGTCATGCTTTTTTTATTTTTTTTTTTTTTCACAGCCCTTTATTCCCTCTATATTTTTTTTATTTTTTTTTTTTTAACACTAACATACTATATTAACAGCTTTTTTTCTTTTTTTTTTTTTGAAAACATACTAATATTTACACACCTTTTTTTATTTTTTTTTTTTTCTCTAAATCCTAAAATTATTATAGGTTTTTTTCTTTTTTTTTTTTTTTTAATCAAAACGTTAGATTTTGGGTTTTTTTATTTTTTTTTTTTTCTTCTTATTTACCGAGAAAGTACGCTTTTTTTGTTTTTTTTTTTTTCCATGCCTAACAACATGGCGTTCTCTTTTTTTATTTTTTTTTTTTTACCCATTGATCTTAGGAACCAAAAATTTTTTTGTTTTTTTTTTTTTAAGTAATAATCATGTATTTTTCCATTTTTTTTATTTTTTTTTTTTTTTAACCTTACCAATTATTATTACCTTTTTTTTCTTTTTTTTTTTTTACTCATATCTATACTAAGTAAAAACTTTTTTTATTTTTTTTTTTTTCATTAGCCTCATTCCCACAACATTCGTGTGTACAGACCTAGAAGCCATCATCTCGAACTGATATTGAACAATTTTTTTATTTTTTTTTTTTTCATTAAGTTTCAAACTAGACTACTTTTTTTTTATTTTTTTTTTTTTAGCACTATTAATCACTTGATCTATTTTTTTTTTTTTTTTTTTTTTTATAAAGTCAGATCTGAACATTTATCTTTTTTTCTTTTTTTTTTTTTTTTCCTCACCACAATATTAATTCTATTTTTTTCTTTTTTTTTTTTTCAACTTTTTATCAGATGAGAGGGCGTTTTTTTTTTTTTTTTTTTTTTAATTGGCTGATGACATGGCCAAGCTTTTTTTATTTTTTTTTTTTTCAAGCAACTCTATACAATCGCATTGTTTTTTTTTTTTTTTTTTTTTGCTGTAGCATGATTCCTCTCATCCTTTTTTTTATTTTTTTTTTTTTAAATACTTATCCTTAACCCTACCCCTTTTTTTCTTTTTTTTTTTTTTTTTCTCTTAGCAGCAGCAGGAAAATTTTTTTATTTTTTTTTTTTTCCCTGACTTCCTTCCGCTGTGGAAGTTTTTTTCTTTTTTTTTTTTTTGCCTGACTCTAGCACTATAGTTGTTTTTTTTGTTTTTTTTTTTTTCCGCTTCCACCCCTCAACATCACTATTTTTTTCTTTTTTTTTTTTTAAAACCACAATGACAGCTGGGCGCGTTTTTTTATTTTTTTTTTTTTAGCACTTTGGGAGGCTGAGGTGGGTTTTTTTTTTTTTTTTTTTTTTTCCAGATCAGCCTGGCCAACGTGGTTTTTTTTTTTTTTTTTTTTTTATACAAAAATTAGCCAGGTGTGGTGTTTTTTTTTTTTTTTTTTTTTTACTCGGGAGACTGAGGCAGAAGAATTTTTTTATTTTTTTTTTTTTAGGCTGCAGTGAGCTGAGATTGCACTTTTTTTCTTTTTTTTTTTTTAGCAAGATGTTGTCTAAAAAACAAATTTTTTTATTTTTTTTTTTTTAGATGCCACTTCACTCAAGTTAGAATTTTTTTTTTTTTTTTTTTTTAAGAAAACACATGTTGGCAAGGATCTTTTTTTATTTTTTTTTTTTTGCACTGTTGGTGGTATTTAAATTAGTTTTTTTATTTTTTTTTTTTTTACGCCAGTTCCTCATAAAATTACATTTTTTTATTTTTTTTTTTTTCAGCAATCCCCATACTAAGTATACATTTTTTTATTTTTTTTTTTTTATGTCAAAGAGATATCTGCACTCCCTTTTTTTTTTTTTTTTTTTTTCAATAGCCAAGATATGGAATCAACCTTTTTTTCTTTTTTTTTTTTTGTGGATAAAGAAAATGTGATATTTATTTTTTTCTTTTTTTTTTTTTGCCATAAAAAAGAAGAAAATTCTGATTTTTTTGTTTTTTTTTTTTTGCCCAGAGAACATCATGTTAAATGATTTTTTTATTTTTTTTTTTTTAATCTGCATGTTCTCACTCATGTGGAATCTTTGTTTAAAAAGTTGATATCGTAGAAGCAGTGAGTGAAACATTTTTTTTTTTTTTTTTTTTTAAGGAGGGAAGGGAAGATGAGGAGATTTTTTTCTTTTTTTTTTTTTTTACAATTAGATAGGAGGAATAATCTCTGGTGTTCTATTGCACAGTGGGGTGACTATGGTTAACAGTAAGGTTTTTTTATTTTTTTTTTTTTGCTTGAGTCTACAATTCTAGCTACTTTTTTTTCTTTTTTTTTTTTTTTGCTTGAGCTCAGAAGTTCAAGACCAGCCTGGGCAACATGGTGAGATCCCATATTTAAATCAATTGATCAATCAGTAAGGTGTTGTATATTACAAAATAGCTAGAAGAGAGGCTTTTAGAGGTTCTCACCACAAAGAAATGATAAATGCATGAGGTGATGGATACACTACCCTGATTTGATCATTATACAACACATATATGTATTGAAATATCAAATTATAACCCTGAAATATATAGTTATGAAGTATTAATTAAAAATAACAAAGAAATTTCTGGAGTACCAAAAAAAAACCAGACATTTTTTTTTTTTTTTTTTTTTTTGTCTCCTTTTAATATTGTTGAATTTTTTTTTTATTTTTTTTTTTTTTATTCACATATTTTTATTATCTGTCTTTTTTTTTTTTTTTTTTTTTCTCCCTGGAGAGCAGATTTTGTCTCTCTTGTACACAGCTGCACCTCCAGCCCCCAGTTCGGTACCCAGTACTTTTTTTATTTTTTTTTTTTTCAATAAATATTGCCTTGTTACTGAATTTTTTTATTTTTTTTTTTTTTGTCTGTGATGAGGATGGAGGGGCTTTTTTTTATTTTTTTTTTTTTAAGTTGACTCAAGACTCCAATCCTGTTTTTTTATTTTTTTTTTTTTGCCATTCCTTCAAATGGAAATTCAGGAGCTCCTGGAGAAGTCTGGGAAGATGAGCTCAGAAACATGTATGCTTTTTTTGTTTTTTTTTTTTTAAACAGAGGTAGGATATCTAGCGGGTTTTTTTTTTTTTTTTTTTTTGCAAGTCATTCATTGGCCCAGCAAATTTTTTTCTTTTTTTTTTTTTATCAGGTCAGGGGCTGAGGATATAATTTTTTTTTTTTTTTTTTTTTTGCCCCCCAGGAATTCAGAGATGAGTTTTTTTGTTTTTTTTTTTTTGGAGACGTTTTCATGGAGGTGCCCATTTTTTTTTTTTTTTTTTTTTGCTGCCAAGAGGAGAGCATGTGGCATTTTTTTATTTTTTTTTTTTTGAGCAGTGGCAAATAGAATGCCAAAGATAGCACATAAGTGCTCAGGAAATAGGAGTGAGTGATAAATAAACTTTTTTTCTTTTTTTTTTTTTCCATGCTTTTGTTCACATACTCCCTTTTTTTTGTTTTTTTTTTTTTTGATTCTTTACCTAACATCTATTTGTTTTTTTTTTTTTTTTTTTTTGATCCTTCAAATCTGGGCAAGGTAGTCATTCTGCATGTTCCCATAACACCTATACTTCACAATGTGCACTTTTTTTTTGTTTTTTTTTTTTTCCGTCTGTTTGTCTATCCCTCTAGCTTTTTTTCTTTTTTTTTTTTTTGACCCTGTCTTTTTTTTAACTTTATTTTTTTTTTTTTTTTTTTTTTGGTACTCAATACAAGGTTGCTAGATTTTTTTATTTTTTTTTTTTTGGATGGATGGATGGATGGATGGATATTTTTTTATTTTTTTTTTTTTGCAGATGGATGAACAGGTACATGGATTTTTTTATTTTTTTTTTTTTCCCTTACCAAAGGTGTTGAATGAGATTTTTTTATTTTTTTTTTTTTACTAATTAATTAAAAATGGAAGAAATTTTTTTATTTTTTTTTTTTTACCAAGACCTTCAGATGATTACACATTTTTTTATTTTTTTTTTTTTCTTCCTCCACATGCCGAAAGGATACTTTTTTTGTTTTTTTTTTTTTACCAAGTAGGAAGTCAGCCTCGACAGGAATACTGTCCTGCAGGGAAGTGGGTGCCTGCTCAGGGTTCAGAGCATCTGCTTCGATGGATTTGGAAAGCTGTATCTTTTCACCTTGGCATTTTTTTATTTTTTTTTTTTTAGGTTTTTCAGCCAGTCCAGGGCACTTTTTTTCTTTTTTTTTTTTTATGATTTCCCGAATGGGAATGAGGGTTTTTTTCTTTTTTTTTTTTTCTCCATCTTCCCCATGGGTCAGAATTTTTTTTATTTTTTTTTTTTTGTCGGCATGGGCTGGATTGCACTTCTTTTTTTGTTTTTTTTTTTTTATTTCCCCTTTCGTCACATCATTGTTTTTTTTCTTTTTTTTTTTTTGCCACTGGAACACACCCGTCAGGATTTTTTTTTTTTTTTTTTTTTTAAAAGAAGAGAGAGAGAGAGAAAGGTTTTTTTATTTTTTTTTTTTTAACAAAATGAAGAACTTAAACAAGGCCGGGTGCAGTGGCTCACACCTGTAATCTCAGCACTTTGGAAGGCCTTTTTTTGTTTTTTTTTTTTTGTCAGGAGTTTGAGACCAGTCTGGCTTTTTTTGTTTTTTTTTTTTTCTACTAAAAATACAAAAATTAGCCATTTTTTTTTTTTTTTTTTTTTAATCCCTGCTACTCGGAAGGCTAAGTTTTTTTATTTTTTTTTTTTTGGGAGGCAGTGGTTGCAGTGAGCTGTTTTTTTATTTTTTTTTTTTTGCCTGGGCAACAGAGCAAGGCTATGTTTTTTTATTTTTTTTTTTTTGATGCTAATAGTTACAAAAATTGCATTTTTTTTTTTTTTTTTTTTTGGATTATTTTTATTTTCATAACCATTTTTTTTTTTTTTTTTTTTTTTATCATGTAATACCCAGTGTTGTCACAACAGTCCTGAGAATTGGCAGTGGCCAGTGTTTCATTTCATCTGTTTTTTTTTTTTTTTTTTTTTTGTCTCTTGACTCTCCCACGATCACACACCTAGTTAATGGTGGAGTTGGAGCTCACACCCAGGTTGTCTCATTTTTTTTCTTTTTTTTTTTTTCCAGTACACGCTCTCCTCTATTCAGTTTTTTTATTTTTTTTTTTTTCTTGCTACTCTTTTTTTTTTTTTTTTTTTTTTGTTTTTTTTTTTTTTCGCCCAGGATGGAGTGCAGTGGCCTTTTTTTGTTTTTTTTTTTTTTCCGCCTCCCGGGTTCACGCCATTCTTTTTTTTTTTTTTTTTTTTTAGCTGGGACTACAGGCGCCCGCCACTTTTTTTGTTTTTTTTTTTTTATTTTTTAGTAGAGATGGGGTTTCATTTTTTTATTTTTTTTTTTTTCGATCTCCTGACCTCGTGATCCACCCATCTCGGCCTCCCAAAGTGCTGGGATTACAGGCTTGAGCCACCACTTTTTTTCTTTTTTTTTTTTTCTTTAGTAGACTGGGTGATGCCCCATTTTTTTATTTTTTTTTTTTTAACATAATAATCATCCTTACACATATTTTTTTATTTTTTTTTTTTTAAAAAAATGTGAAAATAAAAAATAATTTTTTTATTTTTTTTTTTTTCTTGATAAACTATTCTAGACTTTCTTTTTTTTATTTTTTTTTTTTTCTCGTCTGTCCCGCAGGGAGATAAATTTTTTTTTTTTTTTTTTTTTACAGAGGCCTCTGTGGTTCCGATTCTTTTTTTATTTTTTTTTTTTTTTGAAGAACAGATAGAGCCACTTAGTTTTTTTCTTTTTTTTTTTTTCTTAAATGTTTCTAACTAACCATACTTTTTTTTTTTTTTTTTTTTTGAGCAGGATGTATCTCTCCATGCCATTTTTTTATTTTTTTTTTTTTGTTGTTGTTGTTGTTTTGAGACAGATTTTTTTTTTTTTTTTTTTTTCTGGAGTACAGTGACACGATCTCGGTTTTTTTCTTTTTTTTTTTTTAGATTCAAGGGATCCACCTGCCTCATTTTTTTATTTTTTTTTTTTTATAATTTTTTATTTTTGGTAGAAGTTTTTTTTCTTTTTTTTTTTTTGGCTGGTCTTGAACTCCTGACCTCATTTTTTTTTTTTTTTTTTTTTTCCCAAAGTGCTGGGATTACAGGCGTTTTTTTCTTTTTTTTTTTTTAACCATGTTTTTATACTCTAGTCTATTTTTTTTTTTTTTTTTTTTTCACATTATTTCCAAAGTCACTTTTTTTTTTTTTTTTTTTTTTTTTTTCGCTCTGTCGCCCAGGCAGGAGTGCAGTGGCGCGATCTCGGCTCACTGCAAGCTCCGCCTCCCAGGTTCATTTTTTTCTTTTTTTTTTTTTTCCGGAGTAGCTGGGACTACAGGCGTTTTTTTCTTTTTTTTTTTTTTTTTTGTATTTTTAGTAGAGACATTTTTTTTTCTTTTTTTTTTTTTCACTCTGCAACTCACTTTTACTGCATTTTTTTGTTTTTTTTTTTTTTTCAAAGATTCTTTGTTAAGTCCTATTTTTTTGTTTTTTTTTTTTTTCTCATTTGCACTGAAGATCAGACACTTCCTTTCTTTCAGGATGCCACTCCCAGTATCAGAGGCAGAGAGTTTTTTTTATTTTTTTTTTTTTGTGGAATTAGCTAATTAATTTCAAGTTTTTTTATTTTTTTTTTTTTAAAACTCAGACTTCATCTGGTTTGGTTTTTTTATTTTTTTTTTTTTAGTTAAGAAAATGGAATATGTATATTAATATTGTCAAACCCAGGGTTTATGCAAAAGTATCTTCATTTTCATTTTTTTATTTTTTTTTTTTTAAGCATATGCAAGGATTTCATGAGATTTTTTTATTTTTTTTTTTTTTTTTCAGATGGTTCACTTCTGGAGTTTTTTTTTTTTTTTTTTTTTTGGGAAATCTCTTTTGTAATTTTATTTTTTTTTATTTTTTTTTTTTTCAAGCTGGCATGATGGTACTCGGGTGGCTGAGGCAGGAAAATTCCTTGAGCTTGAGAGTTCAGGACAAGCCTTTTTTTTTTTTTTTTTTTTTCATCTTTAAAGATATATGAATATATTTTTTTTTTTTTTTTTTTTTTTATATACTTAATATACAAGTATATATTTTTTTTTTTTTTTTTTTTTGTATATATATAAATGTATATATTCTTTTTTTTATTTTTTTTTTTTTTATATTCATATATATATAAAGATGGTTTTTTTTTTTTTTTTTTTTTTTCAATATATAAATATAAAAATTCATTTTTTTATTTTTTTTTTTTTATTTAAAAATATGTGCAATTATTTTTTTTTTTTTTTTTTTTTTTTTTGTGATGGCAAATTAGCTGAGCTGCTTTTTTTGTTTTTTTTTTTTTCTAAAATCATCCTTGAAATCATGGTTTTTTTTTTTTTTTTTTTTTTATAAGTGGCTTCAATGGATAAGAAAAGAAACTACCCCTCTCCAGAAATAACCCAAAGGGTATGCATGACTCAAAGTGCAATAGCATTTCCTCCATAGTCAAAGGGATCAATCACTTCTTTTTTTTTTTTTTTTTTTTTGAAGAGCAGAGATCATTATAGAGAGTTTTTTTATTTTTTTTTTTTTAAACAGCTTGGAGCCCTTAAAGTCATTTTTTTCTTTTTTTTTTTTTGAGAGCCCCTAAAGAAACCGTCCTTTTGATTGAATTTGGAAAAAAAAAAAAGTTTTTTATTAAAAACAGAGAAAAAAGAAACCATCCAGACCTTTGTGCTGGTTTCAGAGTTTAGAGTGTTAGCAGATGCTCCTTGCAACCCCCTGGAGACCAGGCTTGGTGCACCATCTGTGGCTCTGTTACCTAGAAAGAGAGGTACTCAGACTCCATTTTTTTTTTTTTTTTTTTTTGATTTCTTTACTGATAATTTTCGCATTTTTTTCTTTTTTTTTTTTTTTCTCTCAAGGCCCTCCTGAGACAATTTTTTTATTTTTTTTTTTTTGATAGGAGAGATTGATGTGTCTTTGTTTTTTTTTTTTTTTTTTTTTGGTTGGAAACTATGCTGCTGGCAGGGATTGGGTGGGGAATTGATTAAGATCGCATGGATCAGCTCAAGGGTTTTTTTTCTTTTTTTTTTTTTTTGAGTCAGCATTTATGTCACTGGATTTTTTTATTTTTTTTTTTTTTCGAGAAGAAAAAAGAGGGAGACTGTTTTTTTTTTTTTTTTTTTTTAATCCCAGCACTTTGGGAGGCCAAGTTTTTTTGTTTTTTTTTTTTTAGGAGTTCGAGACCAGCCTGGACAATTTTTTTATTTTTTTTTTTTTCTCTAGAAAAAAAAAAAAAATACAATTTTTTTGTTTTTTTTTTTTTCACACACATGTAGTCCCAGCTTCCTTTTTTTTTTTTTTTTTTTTTTCACCTGAGAGGTCAAGGCTGCCGTGTTTTTTTATTTTTTTTTTTTTCCATAGCCTGGGCAACAGAGTGAGATTTTTTTTTTTTTTTTTTTTTAAAAAGAAAAGGAAAAAAGGGAAAATTTTTTTTTTTTTTTTTTTTTAGCTGAGGATCACACTGCTTTGAAGTTTTTTTGTTTTTTTTTTTTTTCATCTGGATTCTGTCACAGAGAGATTTTTTTCTTTTTTTTTTTTTTCACATGACACTAAACAGGAAAATGTTTTTTTATTTTTTTTTTTTTTTTCATTCGCAGAAAATTTGTAGTATTTTTTTCTTTTTTTTTTTTTTGTCTCTGGGGCATGAGTTGGTTATTTTTTTTTTTTTTTTTTTTTTCCTCAGGCTGAGCAAGTCCATATTCTTTTTTTCTTTTTTTTTTTTTAAAGGGATCCAAGCTTCAGTGGCTCAGAGCACCTATAAATTAATTCCTCCTTACCATGGGAGGAGGTAACGTTTTTTTGTTTTTTTTTTTTTAATTTTGGAACCGCAGAATTGTAAATTTTTTTGTTTTTTTTTTTTTCTTCAGAGGGGTGAAGCAGTCACCTTTTTTTTCTTTTTTTTTTTTTGGGAGAGCCTAGTCTCAGGAGAGTATTTTTTTGTTTTTTTTTTTTTGGTTCAAATCCCAGCTTCGCTTCTTTTTTTTTGTTTTTTTTTTTTTCTGCAGTGCAAAGCACTAGATTTCATTTTTTTCTTTTTTTTTTTTTTTAGTGAGAATAACAGTAGTACCTACCTCCAGTGATTGGAGGACTGAATGACACAATCCCTGGAATCTCTCTTTTTTTTTTTTTTTTTTTTTCAAGTGCTTAACCTGGTCAATGTTATTTTTTTCTTTTTTTTTTTTTTCCATGTTAGGCAAAAAGAGAAATTTTTTTTTATTTTTTTTTTTTTGGACTCTGAAGGATAATTTTCCAGATTTTTTTATTTTTTTTTTTTTGTCTGTGACAAACTTTCGATGCCACTTTTTTTCTTTTTTTTTTTTTGTTTGTTCATAAGCAGTTTAACCTGTTTTTTTATTTTTTTTTTTTTTCCTAAGGTTATGGTTTCTGGGCAGTTTTTTTGTTTTTTTTTTTTTCTATCCTCAAGTCCCTCCTCTTGCTTTTTTTTTTTTTTTTTTTTTTCATGTGGAACCACTCCATAGAGGACTTTTTTTCTTTTTTTTTTTTTTGCTGTCACTACTGGTCTGAAGGCTTTTTTTTTTTTTTTTTTTTTTTCTGCTGCACAGAGGGTGACGTAATTCTGAACGGTGGAGAGAGAACAGCCGCCTGCAGTCTCTAGAATCTGCTATACTAGGCATTCAGAGCAGAAACCACCCAGCCCTCTCCATACTTTTTTTTATTTTTTTTTTTTTATCCATGCATTCAATGTCTTGCCCTTTTTTTTATTTTTTTTTTTTTTATTCATTATTTGTAAAGTCTCTCTTCCAAGTCACCTTGAATTCCTTGGTATATATCAAATATGTCTATCCCTGCCATACTGATCTAAGTTGTAAAAAGTATATTAGAAACACCTACCATTACTCCTTGCATGCTTACCTTGCCAGGACTCCTCCTGCTGAGAAAAAAAAAAAAAAGGCATAAAACGTAGGAAATTCACACAGTTAGCATTTTTTTCTTTTTTTTTTTTTGATGCAGGGAAGCACAGATATCTAATTTTTTTTTTTTTTTTTTTTTATTGGGCCAGTTGCAGTGGCTCCTGTTTTTTTTTTTTTTTTTTTTTGAAGCCAAGGCAGGTGGATCACCTGTTTTTTTGTTTTTTTTTTTTTCCTGACCAACATGGTGAAACTCTACCTCTACTAAAAATACAAAAATTAGCTGAGTGTGGTAGCGAACACCAGTAATCCCAGCTACTCAGGAGGCTGAGGCAGGAGAATCGCTTGAACTTTTTTTGTTTTTTTTTTTTTGAGCCGAGATGACGCCACTGCACTCTTTTTTTGTTTTTTTTTTTTTACTCTGTCTCAAAAGAAAAAAAAGATTTTTTTTTTTTTTTTTTTTTGGAAGAGAACCAACTCTCTCCATCCAAAGGAGAAGGTTCACAAAGACGCACTGGCAAAAATACAGTGTGACTTTTTTTCTTTTTTTTTTTTTCATTGCAGCATTATTTGCACTAAGGTTTTTTTATTTTTTTTTTTTTACTAATAGGAAGTGGTTGAAAAACCATGGTATGTCCACATAGTGGAGTAAGATGCCAAGGACAGCCTCTATACCCTTCTCCAGGGGAAGCTGTCATATGGAGAAAGCAAAATGAAATTTTTTTTGTTTTTTTTTTTTTTTTTGTAATAAAGGGAAGATATGGGTTTTTTTTTTTTTTTTTTTTTCAATAAGATAAATCAAAAAACAAATAAAAATGGTATTCGAGGCGGGGAGGAGAGGCAAGGATGCACTACTTTTTTTTTATTTTTTTTTTTTTTATAATTTAATACAAAGTTAAAACATTTTTTTATTTTTTTTTTTTTCTGCACCCTCCTCCCCATTCACCATTACCCCCTTCCCCCTATGACTCTCAGCCGTCAGCCTGCAGCAGAAATTTTTTTATTTTTTTTTTTTTAGGTGTGGGGGAAGGGCTGCCCCTGACCTGTGTGAGGGGACTGACAAGTCACCCCCAAGTTCCTGCGGATGTTTTTTTGTTTTTTTTTTTTTGTTTCGGAGCTGCACAATACTGTCATTTTTTTCTTTTTTTTTTTTTGAACAAATGCAAAGGAGACTTAGCTTTTTTTTCTTTTTTTTTTTTTGCCTTTCTTTTCATAAGCCACTGTTTTTTTTTTTTTTTTTTTTTTTTTTCTTCTAAGCAGCAGACAAGGACTTTTTTTGTTTTTTTTTTTTTTTTGTCCAGCAGTTGAGTGAGTCTTCTGGGACTAGGGGCAATGCAGACACAGCAGCAGGCTCTGCCCAGCCTTTTTTTGTTTTTTTTTTTTTTGATTTGTTCTTCCCTTGGCTGATATTTTTTTCTTTTTTTTTTTTTAGAAAAAAGATTTAAGGTCTAATCTGCATTTCTTCTCCTGAGAATGTTGCATCCTCTTTTGACACCTCTCATTTTTTTATTTTTTTTTTTTTTGAATGAATGAATGAATGAGTGAATTTTTTTTATTTTTTTTTTTTTCAATCATCTTTCAACTTCTTTCGATTTTTTTTATTTTTTTTTTTTTAGGGCCTTATAAAGAAGCAGGTGTTTTTTTTTCTTTTTTTTTTTTTATGCCTCTCCTTAGGAAAACGTTATTTTTTTTTTTTTTTTTTTTTTATCTGGCCGGGCATGGTAGCTCACGTTTTTTTTTTTTTTTTTTTTTGGGCCGAGGCAGGTGGATCGCCTGATTTTTTTATTTTTTTTTTTTTCTGGCCAACATGGTGAAACCCCATCTTTTTTTATTTTTTTTTTTTTTAGCTGGGTCTGGTGGTACGTGCCTTTTTTTTCTTTTTTTTTTTTTGGTGAGGCAGGAAAATCACTTGAACTTGGGAGGCAGAGGTTGCAGGGGGCCGAGAAAAAAATCAGTTCAATTTTTAAACATATTAGGAGATGTTGCTTAAAATTCAATGAGCGTTTCTTCTCACTGAGCCTAATTATTGGCAGTGTTTTTTTAAATTAAAAAAAAATCCTCAGGTGCTTAAGAAACATGAGACATTTCACCAAGTTTTATTTTATTCATCACTTGATGGAGAGGGAAAGGGCTGCCCAGATAACTTTTTTTTCTTTTTTTTTTTTTAAAAGTCTATGAAAACACATGAGGTTTTTTTTCTTTTTTTTTTTTTACTTCTAGTACCGCCACAACTATCCTTTTTTTGTTTTTTTTTTTTTCCAAGTCATCATCCCACGTCAGCAGTTTTTTTGTTTTTTTTTTTTTACAGCTGAGCCACGCCCCTTTAGAATTTTTTTATTTTTTTTTTTTTCAAGCAGAATCGTGTGTGTGTGTGTTTTTTTTTTTTTTTTTTTTTTTCAGTATCGGAGCAAAAAACTAGTTTTTTTTTTTTTTTTTTTTTTTTACATTTAGCAGACAATTTAACTTATTTTTTTGTTTTTTTTTTTTTTCAGTGCTGGAAAACCACATTTTAATTTTTTTCTTTTTTTTTTTTTCACAGCAGCTCATGCCTGTAATTCCTTTTTTTTTTTTTTTTTTTTTGGGTGGATCACCTGAAGTCAACATGTTTTTTTCTTTTTTTTTTTTTAAATACAAAACAAATTAGCCAGGCATTTTTTTATTTTTTTTTTTTTCCAGCTACTAGGGAAGTTGAGGCATTTTTTTTATTTTTTTTTTTTTGGCTAAGGTTGCATAGAGCCGAGATTTTTTTTCTTTTTTTTTTTTTGAGACTCCATCTCAAAAAAATTAATTAATTAATTAATTAAAATAATAAAGAGCTTTTGGGGGAGTGGGGAGTTTTTTTGTTTTTTTTTTTTTTCTAAACGAAGCTATGCCCATGGCCTTTTTTTTTTTTTTTTTTTTTTGGTTTAATTGGATTACAGTAAAAGTTTTTTTGTTTTTTTTTTTTTTCCCTCAATACCTCAATCAGATATCTTTTTTTTTTTTTTTTTTTTTAATTAATTTAATCAAGGGCTATTTTTTTTTTTATTTTTTTTTTTTTTAAGATTTTATAAATAATTGCAATTTTTTTTTATTTTTTTTTTTTTGAGATGGGGAATTCAAATGAACAAATTTTTTTCTTTTTTTTTTTTTTGTTACCGTTTCTTTTAATTAAGGATTTTTTTATTTTTTTTTTTTTACTTACAAAGTGCCCTCCCAAAGCTTTTTTTTCTTTTTTTTTTTTTATACCTCCACCTGCCAAATGGGGTTTTTTTTTGTTTTTTTTTTTTTGCCTCTCCCGGCTATGTCACGTCCTTTTTTTTTTTTTTTTTTTTTTGTGGGTATTTGCCCAGCCTTTGCCAAACTCCAGGAGCTACAGGTCATCTGGCCAGTTTCCACTGTCTCCTTTTTTTTTATTTTTTTTTTTTTCTTCCTGGGGAGAAAGGAGGGTCCTTTTTTTTATTTTTTTTTTTTTAGCCAACGTACGAATGTGGAGAGAATTTTTTTGTTTTTTTTTTTTTGTTTTACAACCAACATGGTAAACGCTGGATCACACAAGAATCATCAGCAGATGCTCAATCTAGGGGGAAACTTTTTTTGTTTTTTTTTTTTTTTACAGAATCTTAAAATGTCTCTCCTTTTTTTGTTTTTTTTTTTTTTGGGGAAGCCGGGCGCGGTGGCTCATTTTTTTATTTTTTTTTTTTTGGGAGGCCGAGACGGGCGGATCACGAGGTCAGGAGATCGAGACCATCCTGGCTAACACGGTGAAACCCCGTTTTTTTTATTTTTTTTTTTTTAACTAGCCGGCGAGGTGGCGGGCGCTTTTTTTCTTTTTTTTTTTTTAGGCTGAGGCAGGAGAATGGCGTAATTTTTTTATTTTTTTTTTTTTGTGAGCTGAGATCCGGCCACTGCACTTTTTTTCTTTTTTTTTTTTTAGACTCCGTCTCAAAAAAAAAAAAATTTTTTTATTTTTTTTTTTTTAAAAATAGTAATTATATAAAATTAATTTTTTTGTTTTTTTTTTTTTAAAATATCTTGACCAAATAATCAAATTTTTTTCTTTTTTTTTTTTTGCAGATGGACATGATATATCTCCAGTTTTTTTGTTTTTTTTTTTTTACAAACATCACTTCGGTGATATTCTTTTTTTTATTTTTTTTTTTTTTCTAATTATGAGGAAACACCACATGTTTTTTTGTTTTTTTTTTTTTTACTTAATGAAAGGTGGGAGGAGTGACTGCATTTTTCAAAAGTCTTGATGGCATAAAAGAGGAAATTAAATTTTTTTTCTTTTTTTTTTTTTTTCAAGATTAAAGGAGACTAGGCCGTTTTTTTTTTTTTTTTTTTTTAATCCCAGCACTTTGGGAGGCTGAGTTTTTTTGTTTTTTTTTTTTTGGAGTACGAGACCAGCCTGGCCAACTTTTTTTATTTTTTTTTTTTTTAAAAACACAAAAATTAGCCGAACGTTTTTTTGTTTTTTTTTTTTTTCAGATACTTGGGAGGCTGAGGCATTTTTTTTGTTTTTTTTTTTTTGGTGGAGGTTATAGTGAGCCGAGATCATGCCACTGTACTTCAGCCTGGGTGACAGAGTGAGACTCAGTTGCTTTTTTTATTTTTTTTTTTTTAGGAGACTAAAGGATCATGACAACTTTTTTTTATTTTTTTTTTTTTTATATTGCATTTTTAATTTTTATTATTTTTTTTTTTTTTTTTTTTTACTATGTTGCCCAGGCTCACCTTGATTTTTTTGTTTTTTTTTTTTTTCCCACCTCGGCTTCCCAAAGTCCTTTTTTTTCTTTTTTTTTTTTTCACACCCAGCCTTGTGTTGTATTTATTTTTTTTTTTTTTTTTTTTTTTGTACTAGATGGTTTTAAAACTGTTTTTTTTATTTTTTTTTTTTTCAGACAAAATTGGAATATGGACCATTTTTTTTATTTTTTTTTTTTTTTAACATAACTTTACTGGCATTGATAATTGTGTTATAGCTCTGTAAAAGAATATCCTTATTATTAGGAAATTTTTTTTATTTTTTTTTTTTTTAGGCCGGGCGTGGTGACTCATGCCTTTTTTTCTTTTTTTTTTTTTAACTGAGGCAGGCGGATCACGAGGTTTTTTTTTTTTTTTTTTTTTTGCTAACACAGTGAAACCCTGTCTTTTTTTTTTATTTTTTTTTTTTTGCTGGGCATGGTGGCGGTCGCCTGTTTTTTTTGTTTTTTTTTTTTTTAAGGCAGGAGAATGGCGTGAACCCTTTTTTTGTTTTTTTTTTTTTGCCAAGATCACGCCACTGCACCCCATTTTTTTATTTTTTTTTTTTTCTCCATCTCAAAAAAAAAAAAATTTTTTTTTTATTTTTTTTTTTTTTTTACTCTCAAAAAGTTCAGAATGTTTTTTTTTTTTTTTTTTTTTTTTCAGAAAAAAATTATGTGTGTGTGTTTTTTTATTTTTTTTTTTTTAGCAAGTGTGAGTGAATGCACAAAATTTTTTTATTTTTTTTTTTTTAACACCAACAACAGGTAGGTAAATCTAGGAAAACAGTACATAGGTATTCTTTGTATTATTCACATTCTTGCTTTTTTTCTTTTTTTTTTTTTTTATTTTTAAATCTAAAAATTATAATTTTTTTATTTTTTTTTTTTTCAGTAGTAAAGAAGCCATAAAATAATTTTTTTCTTTTTTTTTTTTTTTTGCCGCCCAGGTTGTAGTGCTGTGGCCGGATCTCAGCTCACTGCAAGCTCCGCCTCCTGGGTTCACGTCATTCTCCGGCCTCAGCCTCCCGGAGGCTGGGACTACAGGCGCCCGCCACCTCGCCCGGCTAGTTTTTTGTATTTTTAGTAGAGACGGGGTTTCACCATGTTAGCCAGGATGGTCTCGATCTCCTGACCTCGTGATCCGCCCGTCTCGGCCTCCCAAAGTGCTGGGATTACAGGCTTGAGCCACCGCGCCCGGCCAAAATAATTTTTAAGAATAAAAAATAAAGGCCAGGCATGGTGGCTGACACCTGTAATCCCAGCACTTTGGGAGGCCAAGGTGGGCAGATCACTTGAGGTCAGGAGTTCGAGACCAGCCTGGCCAACACAGTGAAACCCTGTCTCTATTAAAAATACAAAAATTAGCCAGGTGTGCTGGTGTGCGCCTGTAATCCCAGCTGCTTGGGAGGCTGAGGCAGGAGAACCGCTTGAACCTGGGAGTTAGAGGTTGCAGTGAGCCATGATCCCGCCACTGCACTCCAGCCTGGACGACGCGTGAGACTCTGTCTCAAAAAAAAAAAAAAAAAGAATTAAAAATAAAACTTCTACAAACAACTGAATTAGAAAATGAACAAAGGACTTAGACATTTCTCTAAAGAAGATATACAAATGGCCAAAAAGCACATGAGAAGATGCTCGACAGCCCTAGTCATTAAGGAAAGCAAATCAAAACCACAAGGAAATAGGGCCTCACTTCCATTAGGATGCCTACTACCAAAAATGAAAGAAAATAATACGTCTTGGTGAGGAAATGTTGCTGAGGATGTGTGCACAGTTGGTGGAAACGTAAAATGGTACAGTCACTGTGGAAAATAGAATGAAGGTTCCTCAAAAAATTGAAAATAGAATGACTATATAATCCACCATTTCCACTTATGGGTACAAACACAAAAGAATTGAAAGCAGCATCTCAAAGAGATATTTTTACACCGACATTCATAGCAGCATTATTAAAAATAGTCAAAAGGTGGCAGCAGCCCAAGAGTCCATCAATGGATGAGTGGATAACAAAATGGAGTACAGTAAGTCCTCACTTAGAGTCATCAGTAGGTTCTTGGTAACTCCGACTTTAAGTGAAACAATGAACTGTATGCTATAGAAACTTAACTCTTAGGGTTTTTGTTATCGTTTTTTGAAACAGGGTCTCCCTTTGTCACCCAAGCTGGAGTGCAGTGATGCAATCTCAGCTCACTGCAACCTCCACCTCCCAGGTTCAAGCTATTCTTGTGCCTCAGTCTCCCAAGTAGCTGGGATTACAGGTGTGCGCCACCACGCCCGGTTAATTTTTGTATTTTTAGTAGAGATGGGGTTTCACCATGTTGGCCAGGCTAGTCTCGAACTCCTGGCCTCAAGTAAGCCACCTGCCTTGGCCTCTCAAAGTGCTGGGATTGGAGGTATGGGTCACCATGACTGGCCAACTCTTGATTATATCAATTAGCCTATGGTAAAATTGGTTTCTTATGTGGTATGTGGCTGGGCGTGGTGGTACATGGCTGTAATCTCAGCACTTTGGGAGGGTAAGGCGGGAGGATTGCTTGAGCCCAAGAGTTTGAGATCAGCCTGGACAACAAAGCGAAACCCCACCTCTACAAAAAAATTTAAAATAAAAATAAATACATTATACAGTATGCTATCACTTAAAGTCAGCTTCCAAAAATCTATCAATCTTGTAAGTGAGGACTTACTGTATATACACACAGTGGAATATTATTCAGCCTTTAAAAAGGAAGGAAATTCTGAGATATGCTACAACTTGGATGAACCCTGAAGACTTTACACTAAGTGAAATAAGCTAGTCACAAAAGAACAAATACTGTATGATTCTACTTATATGAGGTACCCTGAAAAGTCAAATTTATAGACAGAGAAAGTAGAACCGTGGTTTCCAGGGGTTGGAGGGAAGGAGAAAATGAAAAGTTATTGTTTAATGGGTACAAAGTTTTACTAAAAGATGATGAAAAAGTTCTGGGATGGATGGTGGTAATGTCTGCACAACAATGTGAAGGTGTTTAACATTACTGAACTGTATACTTAAAATTGATTAAGATGGTAAATTTTGTTACATGTATTTTACCACAATTGAAAACAAAAAACAAAAAATTTCCCAGACCAAGCTAACTCATTGATGCTGACAGATGTTGGCAAAGAAATTACCCAAGTCTGCTGGAGGAACCACAGATCCCAGGGAAGACTGTCACATATCTCCCAAGGATCATGATCACATTGTGAGGAACAGACTGCAAATTCTCCCAACGTTTCCCCTTCCACCCATCCTTTCAGAGCGGAGCACCACAGAAACCAGAAACCCTTGCCCTCTGGGTTGTCCAGTTACATGCTTGGCAAACCTCTTGTTCAATACAGTAAGAATTTCAAAACAGTAACAGCAGAACATTAAACAAAGCTCTGTACTTGAACTTTGGAATTACTATCAGGCGCCCTGTACTCCATAGATTATATGTCCCTAAAGCTGGCTCTAATTGCATCCCACAGATAAGAACAGAGGAACCATTTCAGAGCAACTCAAGGGTGTGTGGAGTCAGTTCAGACTAACTAGTGAGAGCTCAAACTAACTAGCTCTCACTAGTCGGCTAGTGTCAGTCAATTGTTAAATTTTCAGAAAATGTGCACTCTGGTTGATATCATGTTGTTTACTTGCAATCACCATGGCGAGAGCATTTACAGTAAATGGTACAAACCGGAGCCAATCTCTCTTTTTCTTTTTGGGGGGTTGGGGGGGGGGGTGGGAGGGGGGAGCCGGTTGTTAAACATTGACCAGCACACCACTGAACCTACCGGTAAGGCTTCCAAGAATGTTTTAATGTCTGTTTGGGAAACTAGTTCTTCCTCTCCTTGATACAATGACTCGGCTTCCTTGTCTACAGGAGGTGTCACTATCTGGGCAGCTGAAAATAAAATCACAGACAGGAAAATAAAAATTACCTTCTGACTAGTAGCAATCCAAAATAACCAGCCATCAAAAGCAGCCATCAAAAATAATTATTTTGAAGAGAATTGTAAATTTTTTTTTTTTTTTTGAGTCAGGGTTTTACTCCTGTTGCCCAAGCTGGAGTGCAATGGCATGATCTCGGCTCACTGCAACCTCTGCCTCCCAGGTTCAACCAATTCTCCTGCCTCAGCTTCCTGAGTAGCTGCAATTACAGGCACGCCACCATGCCCGGCTAATTTTTTGTATTTTTAGTAGAAATGTGGTTTCACCATGTTAGCCAAGCTGGTCTCGAACTCCTGACCTCAGGTGATCCACCCGCCTCGGCCTCCCAAAGTGCTGGGATTACAGGCGTGAGCCACTGCGCCCAGTCTGAGAATTGTAAATTTCTCATTGCATTTGCTTATGGAAGCCTACATATATACCCAGAAAAAAAAATGTGTAAATTTATAAATTATTTTTATTCCTTGTATTGATTTTCTTTTCTATTGTTTTTGTTATTTTATAATTTTATCAGTTCCTTAAAATTACTATATATTTACTAAATCGTATTTCAAAACTTATTGTTGTTTTAAGCTGCTAAAAAAAAAAAAGTTATAGTGCTTAATGTACCAGATAATTGCCAAGTAGAGATTTCAAAAGCATTGTCTCAAAAAATAATATCAGAATTCAGGCTATAATAGCGAACAAAGAAAGAAGGAAAGGAGGGTAAAAAGAATGTAAGAAAAAAGAAAATCCATTTAAAAGTGGTAATTATATAAAAATGTTATAGCCATAAAATGATTTCTAAGGGACCATTAATAAAAACGATCTATATCTGTATTATTAATATATTCATGAAAATGTCAGCTATGGCCGGGCATGGTGGCTCATGCTTGTAATCCCAGCACTTGGGAGGCCGAGGTGGGTGGATCACTGGAGGTCAGGAGTTCAAGACCATCCTGGCCAACATGGCAAGACTCTGTCTCTACTAAAAATACAAAAATTAGCTTGGCGTGGTGGCAGAGACACCTGTAATCTCAGCTACTCAGGAGGCTAAGACAGAAGAATCGCTTGAACCTAGGAAGCAGAGGTTGTGGTGAGCCGAGATCGTGCCATTGCACTCCAGCCTGGGCAACAAGAGCGAAACTTCATCTCAAAAAAAAAAAAAAGTCAGCTATATTATGTGGGGGGAAAAGCAAGTTTTAGAATATGATTAGCATGGTCTTTGTTAAAAATATACGTGTCTCTCTCTGTGTGTGTATGTAATATCTCTGTACACTTACAATTGTTTCTATATAGAAGGAAATCAATAAGTATATATTCCAAACAGTGGTTATCTTTGGGAAATGGGTTAGTAATAGAAAAAGAAGAAAAGGAGAAAGACTTTTACCTTCTACACTCTATGTTGCTTTAATTATTTGAATTTTTATTTAATTTTATTATAATTATGTACCTTATTTTAATAATAAATTAAAAATACTAGGCTGGGCGAGGTGGCTCATGCCTGTAATCTCAGGACTTTGGGAGGCCCAGGCGGGTAGATCACAAGGTCAGCAGTTTGAGATCAGCGTGGCCAACATGGTGAAACCTTGTCTCTACTAAAAATACAAAAATTAACTGGGTGTGGTGGTGCATGCCTGTAATCCCAGCTACTCGGGAGGCTGAGGCAGGAGAAGAATTGCTTAAACCTGGGATGGGGAGGTTGCAGTGAGCTAAGACCGTCCCACTGCACCGCAGCCTGGGGAGAGTAAGAGTCTGTCTCAAGAAAATACCAAAGCAAACACCAAGGCTCAAGATAACTTAGAAAGTTAGCCAGGTGGTCCTTAAACAAAGCCAGTGTCCTCGCTTGGACTTTGGATCACACACACTTACAGGAAAGTCTAAACTCTGCACACCTACTCTTTTCAGTCCTTTAGACTTTCATCTTAACAGCAGAACTAGGCTCAAACTCTTAGAACTAAAGAAAGTCAATATTAAAATATCAATAATGATTGACACCCAAAAGAGATCACACACAGGTAGGTTATAGAAAAGAAAAATCAAAATTAGAATTCTGCTGATATAAAGCTCAGTCCTGGGCCAGGCTCAGTGGCTCACGCCTATAATTCCAGCACAGATCACTTGAGGTCAAGAGTTCAAGACCAGCCTGGCCAACATGGTGAAACCCTGTCTCCATTAAAAATACAAAAATTAGCTGGGCATGGTGGCAGGCATCTGTAATCCCAGCTACTCAGGAGGCTGAGGCAGAAGAATTGCTTGAACTTGGGAGGCGGAGGTTTCAGTGAGCCAAAATCATGCCACTGCACTCCAGCCTGGGTGACAGAGCAAGACTCCATCTCAAATAAAAATAAAAATAAAAATAAAAATAACAAAGCTCAGGCCAGGCACGGTGGCTCACGCGTGTAATCCCAGCACTTTGGGAGGCCGAGGTGGGCGGATCACGAGGTCAGGAGATTGAGACCATCCTCACTAACTCGGTGAAACCCCATCTCTACTAAAAATACAAAAATTAGCCGGGCGAGGTGCCGGGCACCTGTAATCCCAGCTACTCGGGAGGCTGAGGCAGGAGAATGGTGTGAACCCGGGAGGCGGAGCTTGCAGTGAGCTGAGATCACGCCACTGCACTCCAGACTGGGTGACAGAGCGAGACTCCGTCTCAAAAACTAAAAATAAAACAACAAATTTCAGTCTTCAAGACTCACTGAGGCAAATGTAATCAACTACATAGAAGCTAGTGTGTCTTCTTTAGAATTTAAGTATCCAAAATAATATGACCACTTGCCCTTTGTTTACTTCATATGGGATATGACATTACAGAAAAATGACAATGTGTTTAGAAAAAAACTCAGAGCTCATGTGAGGATTTGAAATGTTCTTTCCATATCAACCTTCTGCTTTCTCATTTGATAATTTGATGATAGAAAGAACTGTTTTTATTCTTCATAACTTAAATTATGCATTTATTCATCATTTTATTGCTTGAGATTTTATCAATTTGACAACAGTATATTTTGCTCCTCAACTCATTCTGTGTTAACCAAATTCTTAGAGAGACGTTTCCTCTTAGCTAGTTTCATTTTCAACCAAAGAAATCTGCACACTAGAGTCACTCACTGAACTAAATTAAGGGTGTGGCATAAAAGTTTCATGAATATACTCATGCGTTTTTATGTATAGCTCTTGTTTAACAGTGGAGAAATTGACTCAGAAAAACACAGATATTTAGCATATTGACATGTGGTGAGGCAGCCAGGTTTGACTTCTGCCCTGTGCTTCTACCTGTATAAAATATCACAGCAGAACTATCTTTATCAGACAGACTTGAAAAAAAAAAGAAACCCACAAGAAGATAAAGTTCTTCTTTGATAGTAGTTTCTGAGAATGTGAGGTCTTCCTGACTTTTCTCTCTGAGAGAGTCATAGTAGCCACATGTATTGAATGCTTACTCCATGCCAGACATGCATTTTACAGAAACTATCTCCTTCAAGCCTCACAAAAACCTAGGAGGTTGGTACTATTATTATGCCCACTTTACAGATGGGGAAAGTGAGACATAGAAAAGCCAAAAAAGTACCACTGCACCACTAGTCAGCGGAGTCCTGGCCATCCGGCTCCACAGACTCCACTCTCACCCCATGCTATCCTGCCTTCTTTTTCATGTTATTTCAGTTAAAACAAAATTCCCTATACTCTCACTCCCATATTAGAATCAGAAAAAGACATTTGTCTAAAACTACTTCCCTGCACTGAAATATAAGTTCCAAGAGGGCAGGAGCTTTGTTCTGTACTTTGCTATATCCCCAACTTCTAAAGCAGTGCCTAGTACAACATATGAACCCAACCAATATGTGTTGAAAGAACAAAGGGGGAGATTTCTGGCTTTCCTAGCAGAATATTATCGGAATGATGAGTAAATATCACACACGGGCCAGGAGCGGTGGCTCACACCTGTAATCCCAGCATTTTGAAAGGCCGAGGTGGGTGGATCACTTGAGGTCAGGAGTTCAAGACCAGCCTGGCCAACATGGTGAAACCCTGTCTCTACTAAAAATACAAAAATTAACCAGGCATGGTGGCAGGCTCCTGTAATTCCAGCTACTCGGAAGGCTGAGGCAGAAGAATCACTTGAACCCGGGAGGTGGAGGTTTCAGTGAGCCAAGATCACACCACTGCACTCCAGCCTGAGTGACAGAGTGAGTGAGACTCTGCCTCAAAACAAAACAAAACAAACAAACAAACAAACAAAACATCATGCATGGCCAATTGCTTTAAGAATTTCCATGGGGCCAGGCGCGGTGGCTCAAGCCCGTAATCCCAGCACTTTGGGAGGCCGAGATGGGCGGATCACGAGGTCAGGAGATCGAGACCATGCTGGCTAACACGGTGAAACCCCATCTCTACTAAAAATACAAAAATTAACCAGGCATGGTGGCAGGCTCCTGTAATTCCAGCTACTCGGAAGGCTGAGGCAGAAGAATCACTTGAACCCGGGAGGTGGAGGTTTCAGTGAGCCAAGATCACACCACTGCACTCCAGCCTGGGCCACAGAGCGAGATTCCGTCTCAAAAAAAAAAAAAAAAGAATTTCCATGGTCTGGTGCAAGTTAGCAAACACAAGCTACTTACCTTTCTCTCTTTTGTATTTCTGTATGTTTCTCAAAAGTTTAGGTACAATCATTTTGCAGAGGTCCTCCAAGCATGTCAGATTATCTTCATCTATTTTATCTTGTTTCTCTAGAAGTGCCAGGAAACTTAGGGAGGTCTACAAGAGAATCAATAGAGTTACATTTACTTGCCTACTGATTATCCACTCACTCAGATGTTACCTGCATGGCCAGTAGGCACTAGGTTTTGCACTGATAAATAAGATATAACAGCATCTGCCCTCAAGTTGCTCAGGGGTGTAGGGGAAGAGGCATTACCAAGCAAATCTGTATACAATCTATATTAATACCAGATACCAAATATATATAACTCTATGCAACAGGGACAGTGCTTGCTGTATATTAACAGCACAACAACTGACTGAGTAGATACTATTATATTCCCCATTTTAAAGATGAAATAATTGAAGCACAAAGAAGTTCCAGTAACTTGGCCAAGGTCACAAAGCTAATTAATGGCAGAGCTGGTACAATCTGATGCCAAAGTCTATTTTATTAACCACTGAACTCTAAGTCACAGCTTTAAGTGATACTGATTAGGAAACCAGCAAAAGAGGGACACCAAAGAAATGAGGGGAAAATGTTTTGAAAGAATTTTATATTTGGTATTTTAAAAGAAAAAGAATTTTCTGAAACAAAAAATCACAATTTGGCTAGTATTATTATTATTTTTTTTTTTTTTCGAGACGGAGTCTCACTCTGTCTCCCAGGCTAGAGTGCAGTGGTAAAATCTTGGCTCACTGCAACCTCCACCTCCATTCAAACCATTCTCCTGCCTCAGCCTCCTGAGTATCTGGGATTACAGGCTCATGCCACCACACCCGGCTAATTTTTGTATTTTTAACAGAGACAGGGTTTCAACATGTTGGCCAGGCTGGTCTTGAACTCCTGACCTCAGGTGATCTGCTCGCCTTGGCCTCCCAAAGTGCTGGGATTACAGGCATGAGCCACCTGCCAGGCCAGAAACTCTCATCTTGACAACATCCTACCAGGAGGAATAAAGGGCTAGGATGTGATTACAGAAGCAATGATGGAAAGTCTTCCTGACTTTTCTCTCTGAGAGAGTCATAGTAGCCAAAATATCAATAATGATTGACACCCAAAAGAGATCACACACAGGTAGGTTATAGAAAAGAAAAATCAAAATTAGAATTCTGCTGATATAAAGCTC